AGTAGTATATCAGATAATTTCTTGTAGGTTTTGATGCTTTTCAACATAGTGTTTGTAGGGAAGGGCATAAAAGCAAATGCGCAGCACTACCCTGTAATTTAAATGGTTACCAACAATACTATAAAATTAACATCAGTAGATTCTCATTCAAACTGTCATAATTTATAATGTTATAACAGATGTAACAATTCTTTTTATTTAAAAAGTTTTTATTAAAATGCTAATGGGTTCATCTATGATGCCAATAGTTCAGTTGAAGTTATTTTTTACAGATTAGATTTATATATGATGTATTTTTTTAAATACATAATGGTACACAGTATATTTAAAATGATATTTGCATTATAAGCGGGAAAATTTTTTTTATGAAAAGTTATAACAAGAAGCTTATATCTAATATTAAGCTTACTCGCTGAACTATTCCTCTATAAGTAAAGATAGCATAGTTTTTTTTTTTTCCAGAAAATAAAAATAAAATGGTTAATATTTATAATAAATGGTTAATATTTATCTGTATGCATGTTTTGAATAACAAAATGTTACATGCTCGATGTTACATGTTACTTGCTCAATTATTAAAAAAAATTACATAACACTTTCTGTTTTTTACAAAAGTTGTAGCTATTTTTCTAGAAATTGAAGGAAGTTTTTAATTGCATGAAGTTGAAAAAATACAGAAAAATATTTTTTTTTCTATAATTTCTGTAGAAATATTTTTTTACATAATTAATCCACAATTTTTGTTATTTTCTGAAGAAATAATATAGAATCTATAGTAATACTATAATATGGCAGTTGTAGAAAAACTTATTCAAGATTGAAGTATACATTCCATACATAAACTAGAATACATTGAAGTATATATTCAAGAATTTTTAATGATAGATGCAACATGTAATAAATTGTTAGAAATCATGAAATGGAATGAATAAAAATCATAATTAAATAAATTTTGAAAATTAAGTATTTTTTATGTATATCAATTTATGTATTAAAAAATTTACACACATTTATTAGTGATATGTTAAAAACTAGATATTATTTCCTAAGTCTCATACATATATGAAAAATCTATGCTGCTTGATATAATGATAACAATGTCATCATTAATTCATTTACTTTATTTTTGATGCAAAAGAGCAATGAAAAATTTAATAATTTTATACATTGAAACCAGTATACAAAAATTTTAGTTTATTAATTGTTGTCAAGTAATAAATATCATGATTTACACCTTTTATTGCAATAAATATCACTATGTTATGATTAGCAACATTTTAACAAAATTTATACTAGGCTAATAGTGGTGTACTGATCGTGAGAGAGTCCAAAATTTTTACAGTTGTACTGCTGGATTATCATTAGAAAAAAGTGTATCAGAAAGAAAAAAAAAATGTCTTTTTTATAAACATATAAGTAGATAAAAAATAAGAAGTAAATTCAAAATAATGTGACATATAACTATAAAATATTAAGTGATGAAAACAATCTAGATGGATATATAATTAGCAATCTTTCTGATATAAATTAAAGATATTTACATTATATTTCATATTCAGCACAACAATTATTTAGCAGCAAACAATAACATGGCAAAAAAAGTTTTTGAGTAAAATTCAATTAAAAAACTACATTTTAATTAAAAATACAATTAATTTTTTATAAGAATTAATTTAAAGAAATACAGAAAAAAATTCGACAGAAGAAATAAAATTATCAAACCACTCAGAGTATCACTTAGATACTTTGAATCTAAGGGTTTTGAAAAGAAGGGAGTGGGGAAATGCTTTACGGATTTTTAATCACCCCAATTAAATTTTTTAAAAAGTAATAAAAATAATGGCCAGTAGTTATTTATTTTAAAATCACTATTTACGGATAATAAGAGAAAAGAAACAAATTAATTACAAAGAATAATTCTTCATGATAATGAAGATTATAAAGTCAATAAATCAATCAACAAAAGTCAAAACAACAATCTGATAAATAAAACTACACAACATCAATCTGAGAAATGAAATAAAAAAGAGCAGACTAAAAAATTGCTTGCTTTAATAAACAAAATATAAATAAGAAAATAAATATTAAAAAAAAAAACCAGATACAAAATTAGCTAATGCAATTTTGTGCATAGTTAGCGAGAAATTGAAATAAATTGACTTGGAGATTTTTGCCCGCAAATAAATTGATTAACATTGCGAAATAGAAAATTCGTCTGCTCCGCTCCGACTTACCACCTTAAACCATTTCACTTTAATTCACCGAGTTATCAGAAAAAGTGATAATGCATGCAATATCAACTTTTTCTCGAGAGCACAGAAACTTGAGACATGATAAGAAAACTGAGAATATTTACGACAGTCTTACATTGATAACTGGATAATAAGATGGCGAGATATGATACATAATTTAATGATAATTATTTGAGGGCATACTGAGGTATTTTGTGCAAGTATCAACAACAACAAAATATGGCAGAAAAGTTTGAAAACATTTTTAATTATTGATTTCTGAAAAGAATCACAGGAAGATTTTTAAAATTTCATCTAATCATTAATTTCTTGGTATTAATAATTAAATTTTATTTTTTGCATTATAAATCTAATTAAAAGTACTATAAAATTATTTTAATCAGTTTTAAATTATTGTATTAATTGGAATGAATTTTAATAAACATTTGGGAATTTTATAATGATTTTTTTATTCTTTTTTAAAATACTAAATGGTATTTATTATTATTATTATTTATTATTATTATTATTATTATTACTTGGTATTTATTATTATTATTTATTATGGTAATTACTATTATTACGAAATTTTTAATAAACTTCCGCTTAAGTGCCGACTATCTAGATCTGTAGTTAATTTTCTGGAAGCTCACTAATCCTAACTTCACATAATTTACAAACTTGTCCGAGGAGAATTTTAACATTAACAAACAGTAACTAAAAACAAAAAGAAATTTTATGCAAAATCAAAGAAAGGGAAGGAAATTTGCAACAATTAAAGAAAAATTTTGGGAGGCTTTTTAAGGTTACAATAAGGAATATAAAAGTTAATTTCTTAGTTTTTGTTTTCGTATTCATTAAGTCTGTTGAAAAATTTAGTTGAAATATATTTAACAAAATCTTTGAGTGGAGGAAGGTTTTTACATTTTTCGTGAATCACTTTGCATTTGCAATTTTCCAAATGTTGGTGTGCATTAAAGCGTTTTAAAATTAGAATATATGGTAAAGGTCCAAGTAGGGTAAGTGTAAGAGTAAATAGTTTTCCCTGCTCATCGAAAAATGACAGTTCACTAGAGGACAAATTTTACATAGGCAAGCATAGTATTTTTAAGTGTAGGCGAAATGTTTATTTACAAAATAAGGTATTGATCTAATTAGACTTCAATGTATTTAGTCTTATTATTTAAAATTATTTATACTCTAATTATTAACTAACTTTAATTATTATTATATTATAAAATTATTTTATTTTTGAGAATTACGATTGATTTGATTTTGTGGCCTTTAGAAAAAGGAACTGCCTTAGTTTTTTCGATATTGAGTGCAATTTTCCACTCATAGAATCAGTCGTAAAGTATATAGAAGTGATCTGTAAGTGTTATAACAAGAAGTTTTATTTATCTCGGTCAAAACTTTAGGGTTAGTACCAATGTCTGAAATAAAAAAAGGGAGAAAAGATTTTACTGCCTCGAACCGTACCTGCTAAAATATTTTTCATAGAAGAGTCGTATTTATTTTAACAGTAAATTTCTAACTAGTAAGTATGAATGAATATATTTTAATCAAGGTCGGATGGGAATTTAAAATGATATTTAAAAAGTAAAACTGTTAATCCAGACCTGCTAAAAAACTTTTGGTTATCGAGGAACAAGGCACCCTTGTTTTCTCCATTCTAGAATCTTGCAGCAATAATTATATTCAGTAGTACTGAACAGTCGGTGGGAGTGATTTGCACTAAAACCGAATTCCTTAGGTTAGACAATATTAATAGACGAAACAAACAAGTTAAGTTTGGGCATGATAATGGTTGTAGCAATTGACAATTATATTTTAATACAACCCGAGAAATTATTTACCTAGTTCAATTAAATAGATGATGTTAAATTTATGGAAAACCACATAATTATTAAAGATAGCTATTTTTCTCTACTTTTTCTTGAATAATTTTCCCTTACATTTTTTACTTCCTTTTGCAATGAGAAATTTTGAGTTCATAGCAATCAGCCTGTTTATCAATGGATCAAGGTTTCAGCGGAATTGGTTGCAGTCACAACTTTTCAAACATAAGGTGACTCAATGGCAATTGGTGACAGTGTATGTAAGTGTTGTAGCATTTTTCGCACGGGAAGAGTTGTATCATTCCGTTCTCAGGAGAGAGGAATATATATTCTTTAACAAGTACATAACAACCTAGCACTCAAATTTGATAGCAGATAAGCAGTGTTGTAAATTGTTATATTACATGCAATTAGTGTTTTATAATAAGGAGAACAGCCTGTCACTCAAATCTGATGGCAGATATCCAGTGTCATGGATAATGAGACCTCATGAAATTAGTGATTGACTGTGCGAGCTTCACAAGTAAAAACAATTACAGATGGAATATGGACTACACTACGAGTTGTTGCATCGTGACTGGTGATAGACCATGGGCTGAGTAAGTGTCTACTCGAAATAGAAGTGAGGGAAGTTGAACCCCCACCTCTTGACGGATTTTCTTAAAGGGAGATTTTTGGAGAAGAAGAAAGAGAGTTCTGCGACGAGTCGATAAGGAATTTGATCTTTTTCTGAAGTGATTGAACAGGCTGGAATTTCTGTCTGTTTTCAAAGTGAGTAACCTTGTTGGTTTCACGTATCACTCCGTGTTTTAATTAACGTCTCTTCAGACGCGTTTTGAGATTCGAAGTAGACTCAAGAATGCTGAAAGTATCCATCCTTGGGGTGAACTGCACTTGTGTATCTAATTTATATCTTTACTTTTCCTATGCCAACGGCCATACCATGCTGAATATATCGGTTTTCGTTAGATCACCGAAGTCAAGCATCATTGGGCGCAGTCAGTACCTGGGAACACCGCGTGCCGTTGGCATTCACAAATTTGGGACCTGAATGACCGAGTGTCTAGCGCTCTGGCGCTCGGTGCCACAGGTTTCGGGTTCGAATCCCGGTGGTGCCATCGATGTCTGTAGTGGTTCGGAATCCACTTTAAGCCGTAGGTCCCGGTCTCCTATGACTGTAAGAGCGTCACGGAGCCAAAGTCAGACTTCTACCTACGGGTGCTCCATCACAACAGAAGCTGCTTCCTTTCCCTTCAATCATGAGTACGTATGGGCTCGGCCAGCCAAGTGGGATAAGAAACAACAACAACAACACTTTTCCTATTACATCCCATATATTTATATATGATTTAAATCCTATATACTAGGATGCACTTTTACAATGTATACAACGGACTCATCCCAACGGACTGTATATATATTTAATGTTTGAAAAATGTTCCCATGAACCAGAAAGTGGACCTCTTCTTGAAGCCGATATAGGTCTAATATAGGTCGAGCCGTTACAATATCTTGCATTGAGATAGCTGAATTGTCGGGGAAAATTCAAAAAATTTCCTTATATATATATATATATATATCATTAAGGCATTTATTAATTTTACTGAAGATCAAAAAATATCCAAAAATTTCAAGCTGACTGAAAAAACTTTAAACATATTAATGCTTAATTGTCCATGAGTATTGTCAAAAAGAAATTTAAATTCCATTAATACAACGAGCGAAAGAGCAGAAGCTCTATTGGGTTAAATTAATTTTCCAGTTTTGTTAGAATTAGTGGGGGAAAAAAAAAATAGACTTGGGAGACAAGTCGTTGTTTATTTTTTAACTGAATCTTTAATTTGCACACATTAAAAAAAACATTACTAATTTAAATAGTACATTTTTTTGAAGTTAAAATATATTTTTAATTTTATATCTTATTTCAAAGTAAAAAAATTGTTAACCGCGTTAAGCTTATTTCTGCCTTTCAGCCTTTTTAAAGTTAAACTCATGGTTCAACAGTAATACTGTTTAATAGCGAAATTAAAAACGACAGAACAAAAAAAAAAAAAAAAAATAATGACAGTGATATAACACTATACATTACGAAAGTACAAATTATAAATAAAGTACCTACGTTTTATCTTAAGATTAAATTTTTACTGCTTAACTAAATTGGATTTCTCACAAACTGAAGTCTTTCTCAAATTAAATAAATGTATGGTAAAAAATTTCTCAATATTACCTTATATAATGGCTATTAAAAGAAAGTATAAAATAAAATTCTGAAAGAAGAGACTTGTATCAAAGTTGCAATGCACATCTTCGTCTTTTACATACAATATAGTAAATTAGAACTTATTATAGACTCAATTTTATATCATCTACAAAATAAAAAAAGACGTTCTTCTATAAACATATTAATAATTCATTCGTTTATATGTAGCGTATGCTACTGTTGGCCGTTATACATCTTATTGTCCACAACGAGAATATATAGAAAATCTGTGCTACCTAGTTTCCATAACACGTGTTATTCTATATCTATCATACAGCACCCCATTTCTGAAAGGTTATTTTAGGGGCCTGATGGCCGAGTGGCTAGCGCTCTGGCACTCGGTACCACAGGTATAGGGTTCGAATCCCGGTAGTGCCATGGATGTTTGTAGTGATTCGGAATCCACTTTAAGGAGTAAGTCCCGGTCTCATATGACCGTAGAGCGTCACAAAGCCCAATCATTCATCTTCTCATCCATATCATCCCCAAACTGTAAAGGGGCAACTCAGTTCTAGGCACAGTGTGATGTTGTAGTAGTAGTCATACAGCACCTATATTGTGCCATCCCAATTCACAATTGGATTGTTGGGGTGGGGTGAGTTAGTCAAGCTTTCTTCCATGTAATAAATAATTGGGGCAATTACTCCTAAATGTTCTCATAGAGGAAAATAATCCTCCTCTATCCTTCAGTGGACTGTTCGTGGTATACTGTACTATGTTTCCCAAAGTAATGAGTAATATTAATTTAAAGATTTTATTTATTTTGGTTTAATATTTTATATAGTTACTAGCAGAACTGGGCATACGTAGTCCTGCTAAAAAATTGCATTGTAGAAAATTACATATCATAAATATGCTCTTTATGTTTCAATATTTGTGCATATTAATTTTCATGGATATCTATATAAGATGAAATGCTGCAGCACCATCTGGTGGCAAGTAACAATAAAGTGGATAGCGCGAACATATTGACCATACTGTAATATATATATTATTAAAAATTTTCATAGCTGAATGGTAGGAAGGTTGAGTACTGCATTGCTTGAAAGGTATAGAAGTTGATATACTGCTGCACCATCTGGAGATGGCTTACAACAAAGAGAATAGCATAAAAAAATGTTCCATGTTTTGTCAAATACACACAAAAAATTTCATCAAAATCAGTCAAGCCGCTTAGGGGGAGTTCAGTGACAAACACACGTACAGAAGAATTATATATATAAAGATGTAAGAATTTCGTATGGCTGTAAATTCAAAATATTGAATGAAATTTGAAAAATATGAATTTGACATGAATATAACTTTTGTTTATTTCGATTCGTTCCTTTGTTCAGGGGTCTTTGAACGTTTTTCACTTGTTGTACATTCTTTTTCCATTAATGTCTAGCCTCTGAAAGATTTGTACTCTTCTCCCCAACTGAAGCGTATTACGGCCTTACTGATTTATTGTGTTTGCTTAGAAACTTTTGAATAGATAAAAGATTATCATGCGACACACACACAAAAAAAGCTTATCATGCAACTTAATTTATGATTATAATTCCTTGTATAACTTTAATCACTTAAATATTTATGTTGTAGTGGTTTTGTAATATTCTAAACTTTTTCACGTGATACGAAATTTCATGTATTGTCACTCATTTTATTGCAATCACACATGCATGTAGCAGGTTCAGAGTCATCCAAGATGCCCCACAGGAGTTGCATATTTTATTACAACCAAATGCTGTCATCACCAAAATGTAATGGCAGCATGGCCATCACATTTTGGTGCAAGCCCCCTCCAGAGAGACAGCATCTTTTGTCATTTTCATCGAAACCAATGGAATTAATTTCCAACTTGCATGTTTATCGAACCCCTTCCCTGCATAGAAATTGTAGCTTTCAGCCGTTTAGTTTCGAAAAGAGTACCATTTATCTGCAAACAGTGTTACCCATTAGACCAGGGGTGGCCAACACAAATGATCTTGCTGGCCACTTATAAATGCATCATATGCGGGCCGCATATAAAATTATATATTCCCATATTACATTTAGACCCTCTATAGACATTTTTTGGAGTGAAAAATTGAAACATGATGAGTTATTATTGTTATGTTTTAGCCAACGGCCGTACCATGCTGAATATACCGGTTCTCGTTAGATCACCGAAGTCAAGCATCATTGGGCGCGGTCAGTACTTGGGTGGGTGACCACCTGGGCCGCGTGCCGTTGGCAAATTTGGGACATGAATGGCCGAGTGTCTAGCGCTCTGGCGCTCGGTGCCACAGGTTTCGGGTTCGAATCCCGGCGGTGCCATGGATGTTTGTAGTGGTTCGGAATCCACTTTAAGCCGTAGGTCCCGGTCTCCTATGACTGTAAGAGCGTCACGGAGCAAAAGTCAGGCTTCTACCTACGGGTGCTCCATCACAACAGAAGCTGCTTCCTTCCCCTTCAATCATGAGTACGTACGGGCTCGTGGGCTTGGCCAGCCAAGTGAGATAAGAAACAACAAAAACAAACAACAACAACATGTTTACTATTATTCTTAGTATGAAAATAATAATATTACTATTATTATTATTCTTACTATTATTCTTATTCTTATTATTAATGTATATTATGTTTAGATGTAAACATAATATAATAATAATGATAAAAAACGCACATTGTAAAGAAATATATAACATTAAAAATGAAATATATAAAATACATAAGTATAAATGAAATAAAAAAAATGAAATCATTAAAAAAATATTTATTTTACTAGTGCGATATTTCTTTCTCCACTCTTTCAGTTAACTTTTGCAAATCGATGAGCGCGCATCGTGATTTCGTAGAATATAATTTAATTATTCTACGAACTCATCACTGGAAACTCATAAATAAAACAGACAACATCTGTCATATATTCGCAAGAATGTTATTTTAAAATCAATATTAATTTTTTCTCATAATTCCGACAGTTGATTTTTGAATATATGGATGCATACATAATGTAATTTTTAATACATTGGTTTTCACTACTATGGCCATTATAAAATAAATATATTTTGTAAAAGTGTGATAAATGTCATGAGCCAGAAAAATGTTCATAGTGGGTTGGCCACCCCTGTAAGAGATGATTACTCCCTATGCATAGAACGATTTAAAGTTAAAAATTCGAGTGAATTATTGGTAAAGCCCAAGTAAAATTTTAAATTATTTAAAGATATTTTTTAAGTTACAGAAAACTGACTTAAGATGACTTTATTATCAGAATGTTGCCATTAATTCGTAATTAATGAGATAAATTTTCTCTTTTAAAGGAACTAATTTGCAAAATTTATATTACCGATATAGCTTCTAAATTAATTTTTCCACGCAATATAAATATTGATTTAAAGATTTTATTTATTTTGATTTAATTTTTTTATATATTTCTGTAAGAATTCATATAACTGTAAACTTAAAATATTTAATGGAATTCGAAAAATGAGAGTTTGCCATGAACATAATTTTAATTTGTTCTGGGATCTTTAGAATTCTTCATTTTTGCACACTTTTTTTTTTCATGGATAAATACGTAATGGCAACATTGTGACACGAAAATTCCAGTTAAAAAATGTCAATATAAACATACATCATTGACATTCGATTCACCCAGACAATACAATATTTTTTTTTTTAAATTCTTTTTTACATTTCCTTCCATGTACGTTCTTTTATTGCTTTCATATCAGAATTTTTTTTAATTATATTTAATAATCAATCCTTTATTGATTATTTTTACAAAGGTAAAAGAATGATATTTATTTCGAATTATACTTTTTAATAATCAAATTTATTCGATGATCTAAACATCCTTTATAACAGATGGACTGAAAAGTTCGTAGGCTGACACATAGATGGCACTACTAGTATTAAATGCATATGATTTTTAGTTAGCACTAACCTTAAAAGACACGTGTAAAAATTTGACAGATGTTGCACTATTAATATGTGAGTTATAGCATTTTTAGTGAAGTTATTGCATTTTTAGTATTCATCACGTGCAGTCCACTCGGCTGACTGTCGATTCGACTCCGGTGTGAAATGATGGAGCCATGTTTCATTCATTGTCACATATCGACGCAAAAATTCGGGTTTATTACGATTGAACAGCTCCAAACACTGCTTAGAATCGTCAATTCGTTGTTGTTTTGGTCGATTGGGAGCTCTGCGCGGCACCCACTTTGAACAGTGCTTTCGCATATCCAAATATTCATTCACGAAATGTCCAACACGTTCCTTTGATATCTTTACGGTCTCAGCTATCTCAATCAACTTCACTTTACGGTTATCAGAAATTATTTTGTGGACTTTTTTGATGTTTTCATCGGTAACAGCCTTTTGGGGCGTCCACTGCGTGCATCGTCCTCGGTGCTCATTTCGCCTCGTTTAAATTTAGCAAACCACTTCTCTACGGTTGATTTTCCTGGTGCAAAGTCCGAATAATGTTTATCAAGCCAAGCCTTGCCTTCAATAGTATTTTTTTTCGCCAAAAAGCAATGCTTTAATTAACACACGAAATTCCTTTTTAGCCATTTTTTCAAACTAATAAAAGTTCCTTCACTAAAAATGCTACAACTCACATACTAATAGTGCAACAGCTGTCAAATTTATACACGTGTCTTTTGAAGGTTAGGGCTAACTAAAAATCATATGGATTTAATACTAGTAGCGCCATCTATATATCAGCCTACGAACATGCCAGCCCAACTGTTATAAGGTGCTACATATACATCACTTGTTCCTGTCTTTAAGAAATAAAAAATTTAAAATCAATTAATAACAAATTTAAATTTCTTCCGAATTTCTTTTTGCAAGAAAATAATGTTATTTATATTAAGTTATTCTTTTAGAAAATTATAATTAAGTAATTGATTTCACGTTTTAAATTTGCGCAGATGTAAATTTTTAAAATTGAATTTACGAGCAGGGATGAACTTTTTTTATAAAGACAAAAAAAAGTATCGTGAAGTTAGTATTCTGAGAAATTAAACTTCAGAAAACCTAAATTATTTCTAGGCTTATAAATTGATTCATTAGAAACTCAGTATACTTTAATTAGTTCGTGTTTCTTTAGACATTTACGTTATATGTATTTTATTTAACAGAACTTATACTTAACGCTATACTTAATTTTAACTTTAACATTAATGTTATTAACGTTAATTTACTTTAATGATAACGTTAACAGAACGTTATACTTAGTATTTTATTTTAGCATTTTTTAATAAAATACTTTTTTGTTGATTAAAAATATTAAATTCAAATGGACATTTATAAAATTAGTAAAAACTGATTAATTTTTATGTTATCAGAATAGAACTTAGGGAATAGTAAGAATATAAGATTAAAAATAATAGAATTATAAGCATTCATTTTCTTTATTATAGAACCGTTTTTATAATAAAGAAATGAGAATTCTTATTCACTTTTCTTTATTATAAAAATTTTTAAGCAATTATATATAAATATCGAGTTTCCTATCCAACTATATCTTAGAATCAAAATATACACAACGAAAACTGAGCCTCAACTGAATATCTGAGACATCAATTTGACAATAGTTATTTTAAGATTCATTTCAGCCGTGGTTTTAATTTCATATCAATTGAACGAATTATTATAATTGTTCTAATCTGCTCTTAGAACAATATTTAATGTTTTTATTTCATTTAAAAGATGAACGTAAAAGTAAGAGGAGAAAAAAAATAATTTCTAGCATAGCTAATTCATTTCAAGTTTTCGAATGTAGAAAGATTTTCTGTGTAGCAGACGATTTGAAACAAAATTAGTTATGGAATTCAATCAATAAATCAATTATTCCACTCAAATTTTTCGATTCAAAGTCTAAATATCATTCCATTTTAGATTTAAATTCCTTTTTTTGTAATTAAAAATTCTATCATAGATAATTAATTTCAAGTTTTCGAATCTACAAAGATTTTCTGTGTAGTAGGCTATTTGAAATAAAATTAGTTACTGAATTCAATCAATTCAATCAATAAATCAATTATTCCACTGAAATGTTTCGATTCAAATTCTAAATTCCATCCCATTTTAAATTTAAATTCATTTTTTGTAATTAAAAATTCTGGCATAGTTGATTCATTTCAAGTTTTCGAATGTACAAAGTCTTTCTGTGTAGCAAGCTATTTGAAATAAAATTAGGTACTGAAATCACTCAATTCAATCGATAAATCAATTATTCCATTCAAATTTTTCTATTCAAATTCCATTTTAGATTTCTTCCATTTCCAGTTTCATCTTTTCGTTCCGTTTTAGATTTAAATTCATTTTTTTGTAATTTAAAATTCTAGCATAATTAATTCATTTCAAGTTCTCGAATGTACAAAGATTTTCTGTGTAGTATGCTATTTGAAATAAAATTAGTTACTAAATTCAATCGTTAAATTAATTATTCCACTCAAATTTTTCCGATTCAAATTCCGAATTTCGTTCCATTTTAAATTTAAATTCATTTTTTGTAATTAAAAATTCTAGCATAGTTAATTCATTCCAAGTTTTCGAATGTATAAAGATTTTCTATGTAACAGGCTATTTGAAATAAAATTAGCATAAAAAATAGCGTAAATTAGTATAAATAAATATATAATAAATAATACATAAAAATAGAGAATACTTAACATTATTTTTAATAAAAAAATGATAACTTTTGCAAAAAAATAAGTTTATGGAAAGAAAGACAAACATAGCATACATAAAAAAATTGTTTTTACTTACTGTGTATCTTAGAAATAAGTTGATACGTGTCATGCATGGATTGATGGAAAACATTCAATAAACAGCGAGTCTCCGTTTGTCGATTTGTCATAGAAATAAACTGGGAGCAGTTGTACTATGAGGCTGCCATTTCTTTTTTTTGGCGTAGACGCGACGTAGCGAATCGATGTTTATCAATGGAAAGCTTCAGCGAGGGAAGTGATTTGTTTGACAATGGCAGCAATTCTTTCACATTCATAGCTCAGCAGATGACACAGACAGAAAAAAAGACAAAAAAGGCAAACAGTGATAGAATGGCATAGAAAACTAAACAGTTCACAAATGATTAAAATTTGAATTGTTTAATATTGCGAATTATTTGTGATAAATTAATTCATAATTTTATTTATTTTTTTGTTAGAATTTTTAGAAGTACAAATTAAATAAAAAGAGTATGAAGAAGGAAGTTAAA